AATGCACGCTGTGCTGTACTTAGTATGTAGATGCTTTTTAACCAGTTCCTTTCCCCGTCATCTCAGAAATTGCAAACAACCTGCTAAAACTCCCCATTCATCAATTAAAACAGAAGTTGGTTTTGGCTGAAAATGTTAGGTTATGCCGAAGAATAAAAGCAGACTGAAGCCATTAACACTAAGGACGTTTGTTTAGCTCAGCGCATATGAAATGAAGTTACTTGCTTAATAAAGAAGATATAGCGGCAGAGCAAATGAAGAGATTAATCATTCTTCAAAATGAACATCCCAGCACTAGCTTGTGAAGTCAAATAGCCTATCATCCAAACTGACAGTCTTACAGAAACAGGATGAAAGCAACAGTAAACTTTGGTTTCCCAGTGAAATGGTAACTGAAGTACATGCATTAAAGCTTTTCAAGAATCATGCAGCTGAACTCTCTGGGGTCGGGTCAGACACAAGTGAAGACTTTGTACTTCCTATCCATGACTTCGCGCATTCTGATCTGAATCGGGAGAATGACAGTCCATGCACCGTTGAAAGGAGGTACATGTACACTGCTAGACTATACTATATTGACGTATTAAATACGTCATGTGCACACTTAAGTGTGTAAAAGGCAGTACAGCGACAACCAGAGCGTGAACCAACACATGCGCAGATTCCCTTCATTTGCACTACACTTGCTGGCTCAAAATGACGTCACACTCTGGTACTCAACAGCAACAAATCTGTTAGCGCTTTAGGCTCTCATTACTAATACAGCAAATGAGTACAGTACATGTACAATGTACATGTAGGTACGTTTACAAACAACTGATTTACAGTGTACACTAGCATGTACCACAGTGGTAACTCCAAAAATAAAAATAAACAGACAACTGCAGGCATCAAAAATCAAACTCTCTCCCTCTTCTTGGTGAAATAAACCAGACATTTCACAATTCATATGAGCATCTTCCTCTACCGGGTACATTTCATACCAGCTTATCTAATTTCACCAACCTCAGTACATGGTGCCTTGTGGGATACCGGAACAATGGAAGGTACCCCACAAGGCCAGTTTTGATCCTTGTGGGGTACTAAAGTGGTACCCCACAAGAATTTCACGAAATAGATATTTCAAATTTACTCAAGAAGGAGGAATTTTCAAGTGTCATCCATCTGTCGCAAATGTGTTTTATATACTTGTAAGGGACATACAGTCAAAATTTCAACCCAGGAAACTGAATTTGGTTGAAATGGCAGTGATTTGAAATTTTTTTCGTGTTGTGTGGGAGTTTTGTACACGAGAACAAAGGAAATACCCTACAAGTATACATATGAAAGGGTGGGTGAGTGTACACGTACATGTAGATGTCATACAGTACCTACATGTACAAGCAACCCTAATGAGACATGTGTGATAGGTATCAGTTGAACTGATTAAATTCTGATTAAGATGATTTTTCAGTGAGCAATCTACTAATCAACAAGCGGTGCCTTTATGTTGACCTGTTAATTTACTTTCAAAAATACATTTAGAAAAAGAAGTAATTTTACTTTCAAACTAATACCATACGGGAAAAAATGCACTGGTCACTTGTCAGTGCAGAAACCCTGCTAAAAAGTGCTTTAAACAGCCAAGCAGGAACGCACTCAAAAGGCCAAAACTTGTTGGGAGAATTGGTGCTAAATTTACTCCTTGCATTTCCTTACCTTTAAATCTGTTATGCCCTTTGAAAGACAACATCTGCACATAAATATCAGCAAAGTGGCTCATTTGAAAGCAACAGTCCCATAAAATAAATGGGTGAGGGCGTTTTTACTGTTTTTTTTCCCCAAAAGAACAATTATAAAAGGAGTTTCATCAAATTTTGTACAAAATTTGTCCCCTGAAATTTACTGCAAATATGTTCAACAGGAGTTTTACTGAGAATATGATCGAGTATGCTCCTTTCTGTACTGCAGGTAAAAAAAAGCGCAACAGAAGAGATAAAGAAATCCCTACAAAATTATGATAAAAAATTAAAATTGCTTTTGGAATTTGATAATTATGCAAAGTATTTTGTCAGTAGACAGCTGGGCTTAGGTCGTTAATTTTTGACATTAAAAAAATCAAAGGCATTTCCATTAAATTTACCCCCAGTTATTGTACAGCATTTTATTTTTATTGTTCGACAGCAGGAAATTATCAAAACTGTGATTTTTATTCACATCAAACTCGAATCGGGCCCTTTTTCCTCAATTGAAATATCATAACACGACTAAGTTTATTTTTGGTGCATAAACCACACTGCTTTTGTCTAGCGGTTTTCTTCTGAGGTAGACAGTTATTAGCACGTACATGTTTAAGCATGTACATGCAGTCGGACCGCCGTGTCGCTGTTCAGGTTTCACGAGTTCGGGCCAGAGTGCTTGCATACAAGGGATGGACGGCCTGGTCAAAGTGTTAAGTATACCTACACCGACTAACTGGTTGAGGCACAAGATATTATTTATTTTCACTTCGTGAAAGCTTAATCACAGTTTTCTTGTTGTTTTCAGAAGTGTCGTTTTTGTCACTTAAATCGCACATTTATCACTACCAAAAACATTGTAGGCAGTTTGACAAATATTCCCGAAAATCCAAACAACAATAAACTCCACACAAAGTAACATCGACATGAATCTTGGGAAAATATGACTTTTTGCACATACAGTCATAACATAATTTATGTAAAATAGTAGGCATGGTCAATTGCATTCTGTTCTGAAGTACAGAACTGCATCATGTGGAAAAAGAAAGCCGCTCAGCCCTTTCAAGTAATTCAAGCAAAAGTAGTCTGTATATTTGTAATGATACAAATTGCCACAGATGTACTGAACTGTACAGAGAATATTTTTGTTACTAATAGTTCCATTGAAATAAGGCAATTTGGGCTCATTTTGTCTCTTTGATTGGCTGGTAGACAGCTCCTTTTAATGAACATGTGTACAACATGACAGTTATCTGTTACGGCTACATGTACATGTAGCTGAACCTGACTTTGTTGGTTTTGTTCAATTCGACTGTATAATACAGTGGATACAGATGCTTTCAACGGTAATCGGTAATGGGAGATGGTGCAGTGCTCAATACCATAATTTTGTTGTTATTGTCGCCTGTGAAAGATACTTCAAGATTCACAATAATTAACTGTTTTGAAGTTTTAAAAAATTTTCAACTTAGTTTTCCTCTGGGTCTGGGGGTATTAAAAAATACATTGGAAATGAATTTCAAGTTGGGCTCATCCGATGAGAAAGTAACATTAATTTTAAGGTGGTGCAGCACTTTAGGCACTGTTGGGGACTATAAGGACCATGTGATCGGACTTTATAGCAGACCCTGTGACGCAACAGCGGAGGAAAAAAAAAAGTCACCATAATATTGAATATCCGAATTTTTTTTTTACGATATAAAATGTATCAGTTTAAGAAATATGGATATTGAACAGACCAACCTCCAGTACATTACATATTGGGTAAATTTAATGGCTGTGGGGATTAGCTTTTTTCATCAAAACCAAAACTGGACTTGGTTTGCAGTGAACCTATTACAGGAAATAGCTAGGATATAAATGAAGCACTTCTGTTTAAGTCTGGCTAATTATTTTAACCCAAAAAGGAATTAATCTCATTAGATTTCCCCTGGATACACTCAGGATATACTGCAACTTTGTACAACTGAATTATATGGACTCCCCCAAATGTCTTTTCTATTTAAAATTTATCCTGAGAATTCATTGTAATTATTGTATTTGATATTTAAATCGTGTTTTGTTTAGAAGGCACAAAAGGTACAAGCATTTTTATTGAATTACGTGTAAGAGCACTGAAGACAACTTCAGTCAATTACACTTGTTGCTACAGGTTTTTGGTATATGTCCTTCAAACTTGTAGCAAAAAGTGCAGTACATGTACATATGCGAGGGACATGTACTTTTATAGCACCTGTTTCCAATATTGCACGATTTACTTGGACTTTGTGTATTAAAGGTTATGAACACAGATGCAATTTGCTTTACAATGTGAAGAGCAATGATTCCCATACGTATCAGATTTCAGAAGAAAGCAGGCAGATTAGAGATATGCCTTGAATGCAAGCAAAACTCTAACATGACCTACAGAATTTTTCCTAATGCATGATCCTCATGAAACAGCTGCGATAGCCAGGAATTCACACGTCCTCCCTGCACCTTGTTATAGGAATCACTGTTGAGTATTTCAAGGACGGATTTGCGCTGGAGAGATGTAAATTAATGTTTAATTTTGGCCCTGCCCGACGTGTATTTTAACACTGTATACTCAGTGTATGCCCCCGAAGACTTGTGAAAAACCCACAAGCGTACTCAGGTGGGACTCCAACCCACAACCTCCTGCTTGCTCAAACCACTCAACCACCGAGCTTGCCGGTGTCGGCTGGCCGGTTCGAATCAGATGTAGCAACAGGTACCACGAACAACTATTTCAGGGATGGATTCATGCCGGGGATGGATTTGCATGTGTTTTTTCCACAAGTCTCGGGGGGGGGGGGGCACACACTGAGTAAACAGTGTTAAAAATACACGTCAGACAGGGCAAAAATCCAACATTAATTGACAGTTGAGTATACTCCCTGCACATTCTGTGTCTATCCTCAAGGACAGGGATTCGTGGCTGCCACCGATTCAGCTTTACACAGGATGACATTTGGCAACTGCGTGGGGTATTTGTCAGACCAAAATCAGATGTGGTCCAACAAATTGTTAGGAAATGTAAAGGCAAAAGTCCTAAAAGCAAAATTCTATTTATGCTGGTTTGGCATTGTGTTCTGAAGACACCCTGGTAATTGTGTATGTCTGATCAAAAGCTGATAATGGCAAAAAAACTTGATGATCCTTTTTTTCCTGACGACTTTTTTGGCCAAAATTCACAAACTGTATTCAGATCAGGAGTTTGATTACAGACTTAACTTTTTTTCCCAGCCACATCGACATTTGACCAGTGTGGGCAAAGCTTACCGATATCGTGGCTCCATCCGTGGCCCTGTTGTTGATATACACAGCCAGCCGCTCGTAGGCCACAAACTCATTGATAAATGTCTTGGTGCCGATCAGCTCGGCCACAATACGACAGTCGTCCCACTCCACACCCATCAGGAAAGCCACAGGAATGAAGACGTAAGAGCAGATTAGCTGCAGCGGGGAACAATTTTTCCACGTCTCCAGTGAGAAAGTCTTCTCAGTAATGTGGGAATTCATGGAAAATCGTCCAAACCTGTGATCCTGATTTGGCTCGGCATACTGTTTGCTTTGGACTATTTTATGGTATTTTACGATGGCGCCTGATATCTTCTGGGGGACTAATAACACTGGGAGACAGATCTAGAAAAGAGTGTGTGGTAGAATTCCTCACACGTCATCCCTTGAGTAGCACAACGGCAAGGCCCACTGGTAAGGCGACCCATGAATGTGGTTTTCTCTCGACAGTGCTACAAGGTTCTCATTGGACAAAACTGTCAACAAGAATCTTCCTCAAAATCACTAAGAACCCTGCACATCACCTCCCCAACATAATCCCCAATGTCATCAGGATTCAAAACTCAGCGATACATCAAAAGAGAGATTTCAGTTAGCTCTCTCAAACGCAATATGAACAAAAAGTGACTGGAAAGTGGCCTTGATACTTATATTGTGGGATCTGTTCACATTCAGTGTTATGGGACATGGCCAACTTACCTCAAAGCTGAGCCCATCGATGCCAACCTTCTCTCCTAGATACCCCAGCAAGCCGTTGAAGAGAGCCAGGAGGGCCAGAAATGCAATCAAGTTTGCACCAATATTCAATGCCAGCATGATAGCTGTTGATGCACCGGTTGACGCCGCCTCTATGATGTTTCTCTCCTCCCTGATCAAAAAAAATTATCAAAATCTCTAGGTTAGCAAAGTACATGTTTTCTTCAAAATTCACCTATTAAGATCAACCTCAAATTCAGATGCAAGGAACCGAAGTTCATGTGGGTATTTCCACAAGTTATGCCTGGTGCCTGAGCAAGACACTTTGTTACTGTTCATTTCTTCCCATCCAAGAGGAAAATGGGGGTCCTGTATGGGCTGTGATCATCGTCGCCTTTTGAGTGAGCAGTTAAACTCTAGAAATGGCGGGAAGTGCTGTAATGGTCTCATGAAAGCTTGTAACTGGGGTCATATTCTTTGTACACATGTATAAAATGGTAGCAAATTTGCTGTAGCTGCCAAATAAGTAAAAAAAAAAAGAAATTCACACACCCACACACACACAAGTAGTATTTTTCATAGTGTCTGCGGAATTTTCAATTCTTCAATGCATGATGAATCACTAGCTCGCAAAATAATTTCCCCTTTTGCTTGGAGTTATTTCCGCTTGGTTTGTATGCACATACGTGTACATGTACATACACAGGCTCAAATTGGTTCATGAGCCATGGCCAGGCACTGTGACAAATATCACTCTGCATCTCGGAGTTTTGGAATGCCGCTAGCAACAGTGGGGTGCCAAATGTCGCACAAATCTTGCACTATCTGCCTCTAGCAGAAGCACGCCCTCATCAGTTGAACAAAAAGCCATGTTTTTAGGGAGTGCTCATTTTATTGGCAGTGATGCGATCGCAACACGTGCATTTGGTAGCCATTTGCGAACCAGCGAAGTGCAGTTCTTAAAAAAAACGAGCCTACATTGCTACATGTAGGAAAACTGCATCCTCTCTTGGTCCAGCTTGGGGCTCATGAAGGACAGTGGTCATGGTGTGTTTTCATCTTCAAAACTCTGCATTTTTGGCATTGAAAACAGTATCAGGCCAGCGACAAGTGCAACCAAGAATGGCGTGTGGTGAAATGCATGGCTCACCCTTTAGGTAGCTTAACTTGGGCTGCAGTCCTGGTCTGGGATTTCTCTGTCTCCGGGTAGAACAGCTTCGCGATGGCCAGTGCGGCAGGCGCCGACATGACCGAGGCGGACAGAAGGTGGGAGGCGCTGATGCCGAAGGAGATGTAGGCGCCAAGAACGCTGCCCGCGATGGTGGCAAAGCCACCCGTCATGACGGCGTGGAGTTCCGAGCGAGTCATCTTAGGAAGATATGGACGGATCAGAAGAGGGGCTTCAGTCTGTCAAGAAAAAAAAGGATAAGTGAAGTAATGAGGGGTGTAATAATATATATATTTCTTGATACGCATCCATTTGAAAAAAGTGGCACTGTTAAACTCTTGATGCTCAAATACTGCACTTTGCTGTCCCTAGAATTTCAGCCTTATATTCAATTTCAACCCCTCGGGCTTTCTTGTAGGAACCTGCAATGAAGAACTTTCTTGGTTCCTTGACCATATGCTGCCAGGTTTAATTAGAATTTGCATGATGACTTCCTGGGGGATTTTCAAGATTTTTCGTTTTCAAAATTCTTCAAAAATTCATGACTTCATTTACTGGACATTTACACTCGTATGGATGACTGTCTGGTGGCTACTCCAATCTGACGCCAGAGTATTTCAGCCAGGCCTGCTGCCTTGTAAAAAGAGCCCAGATAGTGCAGTGTTACATAATTTCCTTTGTTCCTGAAATTGGTCCAGTGCACTGCTGGCATCTTTTCAAATGTGGCCAGAATAGCATGCAGCGGTATTGTATTGCTCATTGCTGGAGTGCTTTTGACCCTGGTGATAATCCGCTTTCCCTGAATGCCACAAACAGTTGTATACTGTGTCAAAACAATGACGATTACCTCTGCTATGGACAACTGAAAAAATGTTGGCAATTCCCAGCAGCTCAGTCTTCTCTTCTGAGTACGGTCTTTTGTTACAAGGCCCAGTTTCTTTGTCTGATTTCGGGCACCCCCATCTACAGTATGTACCAGGAACCCCGACACGAAGTGGTTAAATATCAATGTCTGACAGCAAACACACACAGTTCAGTTGTTTGAAAAATTTAAAGCATTAATACATTCATTGCAAGAAGCTACACTAAAATATTAAACTGCTGAATGACCATCTCCGATACACCAGGTAAACGGCATCTGCATGCATATCCATATTTCAATACAAAACTGAAACACTTGTTGATCAGTAGTGACTTTCTCCAAGTGGCCTGTTTAACTCTTTGCACGCTGCCGCGGTAGGGATGCAGAGCCTCGATCTGGCAGCTTAACACAATCAGTATAGCTGGTTCAGTGATTCTCGTGTATGTTGCTTATGTAATTTTGCGCATGCTGCGTTTGTTCTTATACCATGCGGTTGGGCAAAGCGATTCTGATGCGACTGTTCAAGCTGCCAGTTTGAGGCTCTGCATGCCCACGGCGGCAGCGTGCAAAGAGCGAATAGCAGCCTGGAAACATCTGTGGACCCGCTCAGAACCAACCTGACCAACAAAGATATTTCCGGCCGCATTGAGGGATTCTGAAGCTGAGGTGTGCATGGTCTTCTGCATGAGCCAAGCGAGCTTGGCAATGACCACCTGCATGACGCCCAGGTAGTAGAAGATGGAAATGCAGGCACTGAAGTAGATAACGACTGGGAGCACCTGAAAGATAAACCAAGGAACAATGTTGCTTATTTTGGTTTTTATTCCCGTGACTGGCTCTTTAAGAAGCTTCAAGTAATAAATTTGTCTCTTGCGAGTCCATGTAAGATGTACATGTACATGTATTTGTGCAACTTCTTCTCCTGTTAAATGTAAGAAAAAATTATTGGAAGTTTGACATCTTAACTGCTTTAGTGCACTGGTAACTGCATTTCTTTAAACATTTGAAATAGTTTTATTTTGAGGACAAATTGTAATAAAAAAATCTGTTAGCGGATAACAATTCTGAAGAGGGAGTGAATATTTAGCCATTGCTGGCAAATTTAACTTAACATTTTGCCAGGCACATGTGCAGCCACTTTTTTTTTTGGACTTGAAATTTTTTTATACCCACCAAGAAATGAGACT